ACAGGCCTCTCTCATCTTTTTAAGTGGGAGAACTTGCACAATTGGTGGCTGACTAAATACTTTTTTGCCCCACTGTAACTGGACCTTTCAATTAATGCATCTTTATTTATTTAAGGCAAATAGGATGGTTACACATTATAGCAAAGAGTTTGTTATCATTAAACATTTCAGTTCTTTGAGTTACAGAAAGAAGCATGCTAATATGTGATTTCTTATTCCTAAAGGTTTAACACAACTCTTCTGTAGTCAGTAAGTTTCTGCCAGAGGATAGCAGATAGAAACAGTATTGCATGCTTGCCTGCTCATTATGCTGTTGCTTTTCTGGATAAGCAGTGTTACACAAAATGCATAAAATCACACTTTTCTTATCCCTTGCTCAATGAAACTTAGCATTTCACTTATTCTCATACATGCTTTGCTTCCTTTGTGTACTACTCTTACTGTATTCAGCAACCAAAGTTCAATTACATATTCATATAAAATATCCCATAATTCAAACCTATCATAGACTTTCTCTAAATCAATAAATGTGGAGTAAACATCATTGTACGCATTCATAGATTTGTGATGACCTGCTAAAGAGCAACAACTTGGCCTGCACATTCCCTGTCCAACATAAAGCCACAGAGTACTTTTGATCAGAATTCTGCCACACGCTTTCTTAGGCATGCTTAAGAAACTAATCCTCTTATAGCTTTTGCATTTACTGTTTTTACCTTTTTTTTTTTACTTTTTTTTTTTTTACCTTTTCCTTTGTAGAAGGGAACAGTAACATTCTTCCAGTCATTAGGCATGGATGCATTTTTCACACATGCATTATACAAGTCACAGAGCCATTCCATCACACCCATTGATTAACATTTCTCCAGTTGCATCATCAACATCTGCAACTGTAACACTTTTCAGTACCCTCACAGTATCTATGGCTTCCCCTTCATCATTCTGTTCTTGGACATTAAGGTTAATGGCACTCACTTTAATTCTATTCTTTGAGATATCACCCACATACAGATCTCTAAAATACTCTTTCTAGCATTTTTTTTAAAATTTCGGTTTCATCCTGAATGATTTCATCGCTTTCATTCTTACTGTCATTCAGACTTCTGGAAGCTTTTTGCTTAGCCCTCTTCACCCACTTGCAGAACTTTTTTTTTTAATTTCCCTCAAAATTGCTCTGCATTTTCTCTGCCTTTTTTAAACTTAACTATTCCTTGGTAACTTTGATTATATTCTTTGCAGCTCTTTTTATATCTCCATCCACATTTATGCTATCACTCTCTTCTTGTTTCTTATTCTCTTACGTACATTTTTTCTGATGCATAATCCCTTTCAGTTTATTGTTCCACCAAGCATCCTTTCTCATACTTCCTATTAGTGTAACTCCACAAACTTTGTGCCAATCAGCTTATGCATCCTTTTTCCTTTTACCTACTTTGTATCCATTCTGGTGGAAGTGCAATCATTCTCCTTTTGTTTCTTCCACTTCTCCTCCTCCTTTTTAAAATTTATTTATTTATTCAATTTGTACAGCCACTCCTCTAGCACAATGCAATTTTTCCCCCTAAATTTCCCTGACACTAATAAAATGTGGTCCTTTTCACATTCAGGCCTTTTCATCTCCCTTGTATTCTCCATTAATTCTAATAAACCATGAAATCAATCATGTTTTTACATTTATATTCATTCCATTTACATAT